GGGGGGGGGGGGAACGCTGGGAAGAGGCAGGTACAAAATGGCTTAAGGTGTGGGCCTATACTTACTGAACAGAAATCGAGCACATTCCTCATAACCATCCAAGTAACGGTCACATTTCTCTGCAGCCGTGTCTCCGTCACTCAGAGTTGTTGAGAAGATCGCTGCCCCTTTCTTCACCAGGAAAGTGCAGATTGCTAAGTCATTACAGGACGCTGCACAGTGCAGGGGGGTCCTAAGCAAAGAGAACGACCCGTCAGGTAACCATCAATACATCGACGTTCTTAACCCTCCCTTAACCAATCAGGGACCCCTTACTCCCCTCCCTTTCTGAAGGCACCAACTGCTGCTGAAGCACACTGCTAGAGTGCGCTTTGGCTAGCTATGAGACTGTGGGAGGCATCACATCTAGGCAACATCCCCACACACGCATGTTCGATTTGGAGAAGGAACAGGAAAACTGACCTGCTCCCTGGCCTATACATCACAAGACCAAGTAAACCCTGGAAGACAGCAACTAACCTGCCACAAACTAAGGCCCAATCTCAGGAACGCTCTGTGCGGCTCTGGCTGTGACCACTTGCACGTCACTAATTTTTAACCCTCTACCATGTTGAGCCGTGCCTTCCGCTCTCTGGACCCCGAGCTCTGGAATTCCCTCCCTAAACCTCTCCTCCCCTTTCCTCTTTCACAGTTTAAAAAAAAAAATCTCCCTTTCTCTGAACAGCTGGGCAGCGATGCCAAAGTCCCCTAACACAGCTCCATCTTAAAATCAGCAACACTCCTGTCAGGTGCTTCCTGGTGTTTTACTGCACTGACGGCGCTACATAAATGCATGTCTACACCAGAGAATTAATTCACCAGCCAACCCAAACACGGACTGTAGTTGAATGGGCACAGAAGCCTATTTTCTCTTTTATTTGTGTATGGGGGGAGCGGTACTGAAACTAACCATCCATAGCCATCGGCTGCGTTGATGTTGACTCCAAAGTTGACGAGGAACTCTACGATGTCGTAATGCCCACCGCACACGGCGTTGTGGAGCCCTGTGATGCCCTCGTCGTTGGATTGACTCGGGTCGTCCATCTGAAAGAGAACAGAGTGGTGCATCAGGTTTCCGTGAGTGGTGGGCTGGGGACACGAGACCAGCTTCCTGATTCACCCTCTGACCAACAGCACTCTCAGCCCACACCCTACCCAACAACACACCCTCGGACTTCAACAGTCAGTCATACAGCACGGAGACAGACCCTTCGGTCCAACTCGTCCATGCCAACCAGATATCCTAAATTAATCTAGTCCCATTTGCCAGCATTTGGCCCATACCCTTCTAAACCCTTCCTATTCATATACCCATCCAGATGCCTTTTAAATGTTGTAATTGTACCAGCCTCCACCACTTCCTCTGGCAGCTCATTCCACACATGCACCACCCTCTGTGTGAGAAAGTTGCCCCTCAAGGTCCCTTTTAAATCTTTCCCCTCCTACCTTAAACCTATGCCCCTCTAGTTTTGGTCTCCCCCACCCTGGGGAAAAGACCTTGGCTGTTCACCCTATCCATGCCCCTCATGATTTTATTAAGGTCACCCCTCAGCTTCCAATGCTCCAGGGAAAATAGCCCCAGTGTATTCAGCCTCTCCCTGTAGCTCAAGCCTTCCAACCCCGGCAACATCCTTGTAAATCTTTTCTGAACCCTCTCAAGTTTCAAAACATCCTTCCGATAATAGGGAGACCAGAACTGAACGCAGTATTCTGAAACTGGCCTAACCTCTCACCACTGCAGGTTTATTTAGGTTTCTGCAGGAGGAGCCAGTTCTGAAAAAACTGGATCTGGGTCAACTCGGGGCCCTCGGGAAAACTCCTTCAAAGGCTGCAGTCTGTCCAAGCACCAGAAGGGGTCAGTAATGCGCTATCAAAGACTTAAATGCTGCCATCCTCTGAGAAACAAAATACTGCAAACATTGCTTTAACCAGCATCTTATAAACCAGCAAATATTATATACCTGAAATACTGCAAATTTTACTGTATTGCTACAAAAGATTTTAATATTAACTATACCCTATTTCTTTAATTTTTCTACTATTCTATGAAGTAATGCTTAACTTTTTAACTCTCTCTTACTAATTTGTACACAAGTTTTTTGTACGTTGGTACCTAAGATGGTACCATGTGTGGTAACATCATACATTTTTCACTTGAGTACATGTGGACAATAAAATCTAAAATCTACTGCGATATCTGTGTAGTCAGTTGCAGGTGCAGGTAAACTTTATTTCAGGCCAAGTTGCATCATTAATTACGTGAGTTATGCTGTAAATAAAGTGTAACAGTGATGTGTATATCCCCTGCATTACATTCTATTACTGAGTGTGTTTTTACATTAATTATGTGGACCTCTTGATTTATCTGGAAAATTTGATCAACAGGTACGGTCCTGGTTCCATGGGTACTGATAATAAGTACCCCCAAGGGAGCGTGAGGGAGGGACAAGGGCTCGGTCAGAAATCTAAGGTGGAGGAACAGCGTTATGTTAATTCACCTCATACACCACTCGCTTCACCACCTCCAGCTCCCCGAGTAACGCAGCGTCCAGCAACACCACTAAAGGATTCAGCCGTGCCCTCGTGGTTTTGCTTGGCCCAGAGCTGTCTCCTTGCTTCAGGATTGAACGCTTCACCTAGAAAAGGCCCAGGGGGAGAAAAACCAGATTAGCACAGCCTCTCCTCGCTGTCCGTGTGTCCCACACACAGGGTAAAATCAAACCAGCACAAGTTTCTGGAGGGGGGTCTAGGCCCGAAACGTCAGCTTTTCTGCTCCTCTGATGCTGCTTGGCCTACTGTGTTCATCCAGCTCTGCACCTTGTTATCTTAAGTTTCACCATGTTCCCGTTACCCTGTTTTAGCCACCCTTTCATAGTCCCAGGGGGAGAGACAGGCCAGATTGTTAAAGATCAGAATAGAGACTGGAATCCTTCATAGGTCTGACTGCATTTTCCGTCAAAAAACTCAGGACAGGTACAGCCTGGGATAGGACACAGACTAAAGATCCCTCTACTCTTTTAAACTGGAAATAAACAGAAAGTAAAGCTCTCTGTACACTGTCCTCATCAAACACTCCTCTAGGGCAGCAACAGCACGGGGTTAGATACAGAGTGAAGCTCCCTCTACACTGTCCCCATCAAACATTCCTAGGGCAGGGACAGCACGGGGTTAGATACAGAGTGAAGCTCCCTCTACACTGTCCCCATCAAACACTCCTAGGGCAGCAACAGTGCGGGGTTAGATACAGAATAAAGTTCTCTGCCCTGGCAATGTGCCTTCATCACATCCTGCTACAGCAGGGTGACAGTTAAGATCATAAAGAACAAAAGAAGTAGGCAATTCAGCCCATTGAGACACACCCCCAACCCTACAGCCTTCCAGTCTGCCATCTTGGCCATGAATCAGGAGTGCACCCAGCTGAAATCGGACTGGGCTGGGTAAACCCACTTTGTTTGAAACTGTGCTACAATCAGCGGGACAAAGGGAGATGGGAGAGCGCAAGCGAGAGAGAGAGAGCAAGACAGACTGAGGAGGGAGGAGCATGGAGACAGCAGCTGAACTCACAAGCGATGTGGACGGTGACGTTGGAAATTCCAGTATCAGGGTGGGAAGACCTGGGGCAACGTTAGACTCCGAAGCAGGCGAGGTCTGTGGTGAGCTGGGCAAGGCACTGCCCTCAGCAGGATCCTGCTGTTTTCTCTGGCCAGCTCCGCTGCGGGTGAAGAGTTTGGTGAGCTGCTGGTAAAGGTGGGCTTGTTTCTGCATGGGGACCAGCCACTGCACAGGTTGCTCGATGGACGTCCGTCTCTTCAGGGGGCGCGGAATGGCGGCTCGGATTCGCATCAGCTCCTCCATGTCCTGGATAGCCTCGGAGTCCGGCAGGGAGACTGGCTGTAGGCGGGTGGGTGACAGGGGCCGGGGAATGCTCTCTGGATCGGGGGAGTCTCCAGGCTGCAGGATGTTGGCAATCTCTGTCTCTACCTCGCCTATCTCTGGCAGAGGAAGGGGGGTGTGCCGGGCGTCGGAGGGCAGAGCTGAGAAATCAGGCATCTTCCTGCCAGCTGTGACAGAGAGCGGAGGGAGACAGAACACACACAGAAACAATTAACCAGTAAGAGTCAAAACATAACACTGACAGATCCCCATCTCCTCTCCTCAGGACATTCCCCCACTTTCCTCCCTCACCCACACCTGCCTATGGTGGCTCAGTGGTTAGCATTGCTGCCTCACAGCACCAGGGACCCAGGTTCGATCCCACCCTCGGGTGACTGTCTGTGCGGAGTTTGCACATTCTCCCCGTGTCTGCGTGGGCTTCCTCCGGGTGCTCCGGTTTCCTCCCACAGTCCAAAGATGTGCAGGTTAGGGTGGATTGGCCATGCTAAATTACCCATAGTGCCCAGGGATGTGCAGGTTAGGGTGGATTGGCCATGCTAAATTACCCATAGTGCCCAGGGATGTGCAGGCTTGGTGGGTTAGCCATGGGAAATGCAGAGTTACAGGGGATAGGGTAGGGGCATGGGATGTTCTTTGGCAGGTCGTTCAGACTTAATGGGCTGAATGGCCTCTCTTTGCACTGTAGGGATTCCATGATCCTACTCTATGAACACAGCACACTCGTGCACATAGCTGCGAAGAGGAGTCATGCTGAAACAGTTAATGTTTTCTCTCTGCACAGACCTGCTGAGTTTCTCCCACACTCTGACTTTATTTCAAATTGCCAGCATCTGCAGCATTTTGCTTGTATTTTGTCTCTAAGGAGTTCACAGGTGAAGCAGGGCATTCACTCAGAATGCCAGCCAACATTCCAACCTCCCAACTAACCTCAAACACAGACTAACTGGTGATACAGCTCGTAAACATTGGGCTCATTCTGTGCACACAATGGTTCTGTTTTCTCACACGCAGGCTCAGAGGCTACACTTCAATCTTATTTCAGTGGATCTGAAGCCATTTGGAGGCACTGTGAAGACATGAAACGTGCTGCAGAATTGTGGCTAGGTATGAAGGATACTCAACTGCCACAGTACAAGGCTGTGGGTTTGAGTCACTTCAGCTCAGTGCCAGGGCTGAGGGAGCAACGAACTGCCTGAGATTCAGGGCCGAGGGGGTGTTGCGTCGTCCGAGGGGTCCTCAAACCAGCTTGACGCAAAGGAAAAAAATAATACAGGTCATCCAATCATTTACCACAATGCTGTCAGCGGGATCTTGCTGTGCGCATAATTGGCTGCAGCGCTTCCCACATTACAACAGGTCAAAAAGTAATACAGGTCTGAAACAGACCTTTCGGTCCAACCAGTCCATGCCGAACATAATCCCAAAATAAACTAGTCCCACCTGCCTGCCCTCTGCCCATGTCCCTCCAACCGTTTCTTATCCAAATGTCTTTTAAATGTTGTAATTGTACCCACATCCACCACTTCCCCTTGAAGTTCATTCCACACACGATGTCTGTCTTTGTGTTTAAAAAAAGTGCCCCTCGTGTCTTTTTTTTTTTTTAAAATCTCTCTCCTCAAAAATGCCCCAGGTCTTGAAATCCCCTACCCTAGGGAAAAGACACCTGCCGTTCACTGTATCTATAACCCTCGTGATTTTATGAACCTCTATAAAGTCACCCTCTCAACCTCCTACGCTTCGATGAAAACGTCCCAGCCATTCCTGACAACATCCTGGTAAAACTCTTCTAAACTCTCTCCAGCTTAATAATATCCTGCCTACAACAGGGTGACCAGAATTGGACACAGTACTCCAGAAGAGACCTCACTAAAGTCCTGTACAACCTCAACATGATGTCCCAACTCCTACACTGAAAGGACTCAGCAATGAAGGCAAGCGTGCTAAACTCCTTCTTTACCGTCCTGTCTGCTTGTGATACAAGGTTCAAAGAATTATGCACCAAAGGGTTTTAGGTGTCAAAAGGCACTGAAGTGGTCTGGGGTGCTCCTGAGACTGTAAAGGATGCTAGAAAGAAAATGATGTTCCTCTCTCCAACTTTCCTCTCCCTGTTCAACAGCACACACCCACCTCCCCACCCAGGTTTTGTTCAGTGACATGCGGACGGAGATACACAGTCACAGGCTTGGACTCACCTTCCGTTATCGGCTGGAATAGTGGGTATCGCATCATCGGAGAGGCAGCAAAGTGGTCCTGAGGGAGCCTAGCCCCAGCGGCGATCCTTCCCTGGCCCCGGTTGACGATGGTTGGTCTGATCAGCACCGAGAGGGGCAGGACGTTCCTGCGCTCCTTGATGGACGAGGGCCGGGAGCCTGACAGTGGGACGCTGGTCCGGGACACGATCGGGGATGGCAAGTTGGGCCAGAGGCTGTGCTGGGGAGAGCTGGGCAGGGGGGTCTTCCTCTGCTGGTGGGCAGTCTCGCGTCTCCATTGGGGTGGGACAGTTCCCTTGGGTAGGGTGCCGTATATCTGAATTGAATTGAATGCCTTGCTCGGTCTTGCTGAAGCCTGGGATGGTAAGAGAGACAGAGGCAAAGTTAACCTACTTCCTCCTCATCCATCACACACCCTCTCCAGTCTCCGTATGAGAGCATTTCCTTATCCTCCAATTTGTTTTTAGCCCTTTACATAGAACACAGAACTGTACAGCACAGTACAGGACCTTTGGCCCAGGATGTTGTGCCGAACTTTTGCCCTAATCCCCAAGGTCTATCTAACCTCCACCCCTACCTTATACTATCATCCATATGCCTATCTAATAGCCGCTTAAATGCCCCTAATGAGGCCGACTCCACTACCCTCTCCGGCAATGCATTCCACGCCCCTACCACTCTGAGGTCTCCCCTATATCTACCTCCACTCACTTTAAAACTGTGTCCCCCTCGTAAAAGCTACCTCCACCCGAGGAAAAAGTCTCTTACTACAGCAAAAAATTCCCTGCTTTGCCACAAGTACACTGCACCCCTGTATATGGGGGGCTTACAACGATCAAATTGACCACTTCCCTCATCGCCATAGTGACCACTTTGCAAATGCCGTTTATTCATTGGCCATAACAAATAAAAAAAAGCGCGCTTCGGGGCATCCCAAGGTGCTATAAAAATGCAAATCCCTTCCTGAAACTGAAACCTATCGCCTCGCGTCCGCCCCCAGGGCTCAATCAAATTGGGCGCTCGACAATTGGAACCTCACTGCTGATCATAAGACCATAATCGAAAAGGTGGCCAATGGGAATGAAGGAACGAGAACAGAAATTTTGCTGGAAAAACTCAGCAGGTCTGGCAGCATCTGTGGAGAGGGGAAGCAGAGCATAACGTTTAGGGTCCCTTCTTCAGAACTGGGAATGGAGGAGTTTCCTGAGAATTCAGGAGGGTCAGCAGGAGACAAGGGAATTCTGGTCTCAATGGGGAGGCTGAACACCTAGAAACTGCTGCTTGAAAAGGTGACAGAACATCACAATGAGGTGGTAGTGATAATGTCACTGGACTAGTACTGTTTTCCCCTCTGAATTTGTACACAGCTACCTTTCTGCCCAAGATGGTGCCATAAGTGTTGACTCATTAACTTTTCACTGCACTCATTCGAATAGACGTGACAATAAAACTAATTAAGCCAATCTAGAATTGACAGTGAATCTCAGTGATGGTAACAGTGAAGCTACTGATTATTGTAAATGGACATCCGGCTTACGAATGTGCTTCAGGTAAGGAATTCCATCCCTGCTGCAAGGCCTATGTAGACTCCAGAATAGGCCACTCTGCCCCACCCTGCCAGCCAATGTGGCGTTAACTCCCCTTTCCCTGTTTCTCCATCCTCCCTTATTCCTCCACAGCAGGGGACTCTCAACTTCCCTCTGGAAAGGTCTAGCGAACCACTCAGTTCCAGAGCAGTTACGGGAATGGCAGTTAATGATAGATTTGCCCAGTAACTCCCACGAAAGCAGAAATGAAATCAGATAACTGCTTCAAAAATAGGCCAGCGCAAACAGGGTACAGCAGGTTTGAGGGACAGAGTGGCCTATTCTGGAGTCTCACATAGGCCTTGCAGTAGGGATGGAATTCCTTACCTGAAGCACATTCGTAAGCCAGATGTCCATTTACAATAAACGATAGTTTCACCGTTACCATCAATGCGCTAAATGGCCTCTTTCACTGAAGTACAACTCTACTTCCAATCCCATTGGAGCCGATGGTTTGAGGGAACGGAGCCAATTCATTGCACTGGGCCTAGGTTTGGATCTGTCTGGTCACTGGTCCCCTTGATAAGTACATTGGGTAAAAGTATGTTAAGAGTGTTTAATCCTGGATAACAACACTGAGCACTGGGATAATTAAACAGTGAAGCACACCCATCACCTTTCTCCCTGCCCACCATCGTGGTTATATCGCCGTTCCTTCAGTGTCGCTGGGTCAAAATCCTGGAATTCCCTCCCAAGCGGCACTGTGGGTGTCCTTATGCCACGAGGACTGCACAGGTTCAAGAATGTTACTCTCAAGGGGCAACAAAAAAGGACTTGCCAGCAGTGTCTGTGTGGGTTTCCTCTGGGTGCTCCAGTTTCCTCCCACAGTCCAAAGATGTGCAGGTTAGGGTGGATTGGCCATGCTAAATTGACCCATAGTGTTGAGGGATGTGTAGATAGGTGAGTTTTAGGGATGGGTCTAGGTGGGATGCTCTGAGGGTCAGTGTAGACTTGTTGGGCCGAAGGGCCTATTTCCGCTCTGTAGGGATTTTATGATCTATGACCTAAGATGCAAATCCCACGAACAAACTGAAAGAAATGTATGGTGTTCATCCCTGTTATGTTACGAAACAATTCTCATCACTTATTCTGTGCTTTCCTGCTGGTCGTTATTTCAACGTATCACTGAAACTTCATCCGTTAATTCTTAGGTGGAAAATAAATCCTCGGTTTTTCTTTCACTGTTCATCAGGTTTATATGAAGTGTACATTTCCTGCAAACAATGAGAATCCCTTCCCCCAAAATGTAACTGAACTGCGAGATAGGTTTGAAGGGGCCAAAATCGTTATCCTTCTGCAGGTGACCAGTCGTGTCCGATACCCACAGGGGCTCACCTTGTTTGGGAGAACTGCCAAATCGAGGTCCGTTTGCCTCCAGCTCCCTCCGTGCTTCACTGTGTTCCAGTTCTGCTCACGCTCTGCAGTGACATCAAGAGACAAACACCCATTAGGTTTTAGATCTTGTACCCCAGTCAGTATCCCTGTCTCAGGCTTGCTGCAGTGCTCCAGCGAAGCTCAGCGCAAGCTGGAAGAACAACACCTAAATTTCCGCTTGGGAACCCTGAAGCATTCCAGAATCAATAGCGAGTTCAACGATTTTAGGGCTCGAGGCCCCTTCTCTCATGTCATTAACCCAACACACCAGGCCTTGATATCACATGGTCTACCACACACAACCCATTGTTAGTTACTAATAGTGCCCATCAGGAGCTATTTGTTATCCAATCCTTTGTCTGTCCAACTAGTCTCTCTCTTTGGGCTCCATCTCCACCTATCATTTACCTGTTACCACAACGAACCACTCATCCATCCCCACCACCAATATCTTCTGCATATAAACTGACACTTTCCTAGCTGCCATCAGTTCCGAGGAAGGGTCACCGGACCCAAACCGTAAATTCCGATTTCTCTGCACAGATACTGCCTGACCTGCTGAGCTTACCCAGCAATTTCGGTCTTTGTTTCTAATTTCCAGCATCTTGCAGTTCTTTTAGGTTTTAAACGATAGATCTTACTGCCCTCAGACCCTACCCTCAGCAGCTGAGGGACAAAGACCCTCCGGCCAAGGAATTCCATGTGTCCTTCCCAGGCTCTGAAGTGGTAGGGATATCATTAGGGGTTAAAAAAAAAATCACAGCCATGGAAAAAGGAAAAGGCTGCTCACCTCCTCAGACCCGGGCCCCGATATTACAGATTCATTAACTGAGCCCCACTTGTCTACCCTGGTTGTATAACTCCCTAAAATCGGTGCTAACCCCAATGCAAGCCCCCCTTTTTTTTAAAAACACCTTTAATCCCATGTGATCCCAGAGAGAAAAATTCAAAATTGGGAGGAGTGGAGTGGGAAGATACAGACTTAGAAGTGTTTCACAAAAGGAGCAAACTCCAGGAGAGGGGATAATCTCTCTCATGCAGCGATCAGTTAGAGTTTGGAATGTGCTGCCTGCAAAAGAGGTGGAGGCAGGTTCAAATGAGGTAATCAAAAGGGCTTTGGACTTAAAATAAAAATATTGTGCAGGGTTACAGGGAAAAGGCAGGAATTTGGCACTAAGTTAAAATGCTGAGGCAGCCAGCATCGATACAAGGGGCTGAACGGCGTCCTTCAGTTACGTGACAATTCTGATTTGTTGGTACGAGGTGGGATTTAGTGAACGGATGGATGTTGGGGAGGGGGTCAGATAGCTTAGAACCACTCGGGTACAAATTGAAAATAAGGCAACCAGGTAGGCGAGGAGCACGATTTCATTTCTTTATCACAACAAGCTGTAATGATCTGGAATGTGCTATCTGAAAGGGCAGTCAATACTGATCCGAAAGTAACCTTCAAAAGGGAATTGGATAACCAAGTGAAGAGGAGAAATGTGCACGGTTTTGGGAGCAGAGCAGAGGAGGGCTAGTTCAATGTGTCGATGGGCTGAATGGCCTCTTGCGCTGTATTAATCAGTGATTTTAAGCTGTTTGAGGATAATCAACGTATTGCCGCCCAGAGACGAGACTTACTGGTTTCATAGCTAGGAGTCTGTGAAGGTTTCTTCTCATATGCGATGTCTAAATCAGCTTCAGCCCACACACCAGGCTTCTTCTTCTTCAGAGAGTCACCTGTGGTAAATGAACAAGTTTAAAAAACATTTATCCATCATTTCTCCAGAGTTCTGTCCCATCAACCATCAAGAATCGATACCTGGAAGTATATGGAGATATAAATCAGGAGCAAGGAGGACATTCAGCCCCTCAAGCCTGCTCTACCATTTGATACAATCATGTCTGATCTGATTGTAACCCTTAACCTGCATTCCCGTCTACCCATTAACCTTTCACCCTTTTGCTTAAGAATCTACGTAACTCTGCTTTAACAATATTCAAGGACTCCACTTACATTTCCTTTTCAGGAGATGACCCTTGTGATCCTCAGAGAAGAGCATCATTTCATGTCTGTTTTAAACGGGCAACTCGTGATTTTTAAACAGTGACCCCTCGTTCCACCCTTTCCACATCCACCTGGTCAAGCCCCTCAGGATTTTATACATTTTATTTAAGTCACCTCATTCTTCTAAGTTCCAGCAGAACCAAGCTTAGCCTCTCCAACTATTCCTTATTAAGCAACGTGCCTGTTCCAGATATCCACCTGGTAGACGTTCTCAGAGCTGCCTCCAAAGCATGTACATCCTTCCTTCAACAAAGGTGACGAATATTGTACACAACACTCCAGTTGCTGTCTCACCTGAACCCATACCAGTGTCCTGTTTAACTGAAGTGTAACCTACCCACTTTCGTATTCAATATCCCTTGCAATACAATTTAACTTTATTAGGTTTTCTGATTACTTGCTATACCTGCAGACTAACCTTTGAAATTCATGCACTAGTACAACCAGATCCCTCTGCATCTTAGAGGTCTGCACTGTTTAAATGACTTTTTTAAGTTCTTCCTGCCAAAAATAGACAATTTTATATTTCCCACATTCACAACCTATCTATAGCTTCTCCTGTAATAAGACAACAAGGTGTACAACTGGATGAACACATTAGGCCAGGCAGCAGGGGAGCAGGAAAGCTAGAAAGCTGGCGTTTCGGGTCTGGACCCTTCTTCATTTTTTTTCTGCTCCTCTGATGCTGCCTGGCCTGCTGTGTTCATCCAGCTCTACACCTTGTTATCTCAGACTCCAGCATCGGCAATTCCTACTATCTCTATAGCTTCTCCTAGACTCCTTATGGCCACTTCACAACTTACTTTCCTAGCTATCCTTGAGCTGCCAGCCAATTTCACAACTCCATCTATTGTGTCAGCCAAATCATAAGAGTGTGGAAACAGGTCCTTCAGCCCAACCCGTCCATGCCAGACATGAACTGTTCCCATTTGGCTGCATTTGGCCCATATCTCTCTAAACCTTTCCCATCCATGGACCTGTCTAAACATCAGCCAAATGTTACAATTGCATCCGCACCCCCCCCCCCCCCCCCCCCCCCCCCCTCCAGTTGCCCGTTCCATACCCACACCACTCTCTGTGTGGAAGAAGTTGCCCCTTGGGTCCCTCTCAACACTTTCCCCTATGCCCTTCAATTTTGGAGACTTACATCATAAACACCCAGCAGCAATCCCTGCGGCATACCACTCACTATACCTTGCCAGCCAGAAACAGACCCACTTACATCTATTGGTTTCTGCCACCCAGTTCATCTTTTATCCATTCCAATACATTACCCTCTACACGGTGAGCTTTCAGTTTCCACAGTAACCTTTCACATGACACCTTATCAAATTCTTCTGTAAATATGCACAGTGAGGATGCCAACACCACTCAGCTAGATCGCAAACAACCCTTGCCCAAATAAACAGCGCACTATATAACGACACAGCAAGTGGCCCTAATGCCAAATTATAGTTGGGCAATCAGAGGCTGGTTGTGTATTATATCCGTATTGTTCTGGTTAAACAGATTGGATACTTACATAATGAATAATCCTTATTTCACTGAATGAACCGTGCACGCACAAACACCGCTGTCCCCTCACTCTTAAATAATTTGGTTCTCTCAAGTGAAGATTAGCTAACACGGCTCTGAACGTGGATGGAACTTGTAACCTTCCCGAGCTACGTAACGTAGAGCAAGTGACTGAGGGGAAAGGGGGAGCAAACAAATCTCTCGTTTTACACCATTCAGACCCCTCATCCCGACCAAAGTGATGTATCAAAGTTCTTCACCTGTACCGACTGTGAATGCTCCAGGATTGAGTGCGAAGCCACTCATACCTCTTCCGTCCTGAGCTTCCAAAAGCATCTCGTAGCGGTCGGGGGGATGCCGAGAGGCAGCAGAAAGCAGCAGCGGCGGAACGTTCTCATGGGGGGAGACTCTGGTGTTGCCCAAGGGTCCTGCGTAGGCCGACGGCACCGGGCTGAACAAGCCTGGCTGCTGGGGGAGTGGGCATTCCACGGTCCCACCGGGCAAAGTCTGGGGCTCGTGGGCAACACCCGCGAGAGGGTGGGCGGAGGGCTCGGGATTCTCGAACCGGGTCATGGGGCTAAACCCGGGTCGGGGAGAGGGCGCTCGGTCGAATGGAGCGCGGGGCTCCTGCTGATGGAGCATTGGCGAGCCTGGCACCATTGCCCGGGGAGAGGGTGACTGATCGAACATGGGATTGAAAGCGTAGGGTGTGGGAGGCTGCTGGGGGGGTACCAGTGGTGTGTAGGTTGGTAATGGCTGCGGAGAGGAGGATTGAGTCACATTAATGACTGGCAACAGCTCGTCACGTTTACTCTGCGATTCGGTCCAACTTGGGCCATACATGTTGGACGATGTCGAAGCGGTCACCGAGCTCTCTTTCTGATAGGTCTGAAACATTGCGGGGGGGGGGGGGGAGGAGAGAAAAAGAAGAGGGAATGATGCAAAATTTCAAACACCACCCTCGACCCCAAACCCAAACATTTCCCCCCGGATGCTGTTCGATGGCTCAGATCCTTACTGAGCAGTAGCACAGAATTTAATATCGCATGCAGCCCCCTCTCCGCCCACCCTTGGGTGTCAGCCATGACTCCGCGGGTAGCACACTCGCCTTAGAGTCAGCTTGCTGTGCATTTAAAACTGCACCCTCGGGCAGTGATGCCAGTCCCCCAGTGCAGCGCTGAGGGAGTGCCGCAGTCTTGGAGGTGCTGACTCTTTGAACGAGAGGCTTTGCCTAACCTCCAGGGCGCCTGCTTTTGTAATATAACATCTCCTCCTGCTCAGAGAGTTGTTATTATTATACTGATACCTTGCTATCAGATTGAGCGACGTCAGTAACCAGGGGGCTGCTCTGTGTGGACCACATCGAGTCCAGCTCCTGGGATAGTTTGTCCAGTTTGTGCGTTGCCTCGTTCAACTTCTTCTGCGCAGATTGCAACATAAGGCTTGTCTGGCATTCTTCATTAGAAACGAAAAAGAACAGAGAGAGAGAGACATCATTGAGGGAGACAGAAAGAGTGGGAGCATTACATAAAGGTCAAGGACACAAGAAGAGTAAACCAGTGTGTTAAGCTTACGCTTCACTCACTCTGATGAAGAGCAACCACAGAATGTTGCTTGGGTTAGCTGTGGTTGGCGGAATGTCAAGTCTTTCTCGGCTCATGTTAATGTCAGAATAATGTGTATGGAGTTACATATATTTAGTAAATCTTGCTGTCACAGCCCTTTTTTTTTGCTGAGGCTCAATCTTCATAGAAAGCTCCTTAGACTAGCTCGAGAAGGAGGATCAGTGGCAGTGTTCTACCCAGGGTTCCCAGGCCCCATCACCCCTGTTGTGGTCAAGGAGCAGTTTGATAAATACAGAACCTGACAACGATGAGCAGCAGAAGGCCACTCAGCCCCTCAAGTGAATAATGGCCAGTATGCACCATTTACAACTCTTGGTTCCAAATCCCTTAAACCCAAGTAGAAACCTGTCAAAATAAAAAATTGCTGGAAAAGCTCAGCAGGTCTGACAGCATCTGTGGAGAGAAATCAGAGCTAAC